AAACACCTTCATAGAAGCTGAAGATTAAAACCAGACATCAAATATATGTAGAAGAGCACATAACCAACCAGGCCATCAGGTTCACCGAAGGAAAAAGATACAGAAATATACTATACTGGGCTATCTGGATTGGTAGTCTGGAATAAGACCAATGGTTCTGAGTTGTGGCTAGTAGAGAATGATAAAGAAAATGCTAGAAAGATGGATACTAGAGTTCTAGTGAACTTTACAAGAGTAAAAATAGTGTAATATAGTGGTTAAACAGGTAACCTCTGTGACTGCAAGTATTAGGTAACTATAGCATGTTGCATAAAACTAGATCTATATGTGTGGAACATAAAGGCTCTAGTAAGTTTTTTATTGAGAATAAAGTAGTCCTAAGGGTAATGATAAGTATTGAAAACTTGGATGGGCAGTGCTTTAAGATGTTCTTATAATATAAGGAGAACTGCATATGCAGAAGGTTTAAATAGACAAGACCTTTAGTTGGCTTGCAAGTATGGCAACTAGTATAGAACTTATATAGTAATGTGTAAGTGGACTATTTAAATTAGACACCAAAAGTGTATATATGACTAGTTGTAACCTCCAATGTAAGGTAAGCCTCTGGTGGCATGCTGTATCCTAATATACTAGAATAAAAACATTACATCTCCCAAGATAGGAACTTTAACTATAAAAAAAATAAAAAAATAAAAATAAATTTTATATTATAGATATTTGCATCTAAATATATTTGTAAATATTAAACTGAACTTCAAACCAAACTGAACTTGTTTACAAAATTTAGAATTAAATTTGAATCTAAACATAGTTTTAAAAAATTCAAATTTGAGTTTAGTTTGAAAATAAAACTAAATTTGAACTTATCTAAAAGTTTAGTTTAGTTTAGTTTGTAAGATATCTAAAAACAAGAATATGACAACCTAATGAAGTGGTTAGATTGTCAACTTTCCAAATGGTAAATTGGATATTCAAATCTCATTAATAATAAAAATTTAAATAATTACCTATATAATATTTATATTATAACAACTGTTACTAATAATTGAATTAGGATACTTATAATGATAGTCATATTAGCATGACTGGCAGATCATGAAGCATTTGTGTAACTTGTTACACAAAGGAATACAAACTGACAAATTAAGCAGTATAAACACTAGATAAGTACTTGTGCCTATATAAATCTATTGAAATTGAATAATAAGAAATCTATTTAAAAAGATTTAAGTAAAAAAGTAATTAGATTTTCAATGATCTTACTGTAAAGGCTAATCTGGAAAAACAGATACTAAAGTTATAATATCTAGTTGTAGTAACTAGATAGGCAAAAACCTCTAAGTTAAGAATTTTAGAAGTATTATCAACCAGACTGCTAAAATAAATCAGAAAAAAAGTATTTCAAACTAATCTAATATATCAATAGACTGATTGTAATTTTATACAGATTATTTAAATTAAGAGTTTAATAAAAAAACTGAACAAAAAATACAAGAGTATACTAAAATACTAAGATTATGTTATAAAATAAATACTAAAGTCTGTGTAAACTCTATAAAACATAATAGTTTAATAGTTAAACCTTGATTGCAAGTGTTAGTTTTGCTATAACAATATCTAAGTCAACTATAAAAATGAATACAGAAGACTCTAAAAGGTTTATCTTAAGAATAAATTAATTCTAAGATTAAGATGATAATTTGAACATCTAAGTATAACTCAATAAGTTAATACAGATTACAGATTTAGAGAGTTTAAAATAAAACACCCAAGCAGAGGTATTAGGTATAGTAATTGGTAAGGAACCTTTGAGCAGACTTCTTAAATAAGTAATATAGAAAAGTTACATATGTAACCAATTATACTCTCTTTTGTAGTAGTTTATAGAATCATATTACTAATAAGTTGTTAATAAAAGTCAAAAGATCAAAAAGATCATTTTAACATCAAAAAAAAAAAAAAACACTTAAAAACAAAAATAAAATATTTATAATTTTAAAAAATACAAATTCTTAACAAATTAAAAATCTTTAAATAAAAAAATATTTAGTATAATAGACTGTATATAAATATATCTAAATAAAAAACTGTATATGTTATAATATTATTTATAATATCAATAACAAGTTCAAAATAAATACCAAAAATCAATATATAACTCTAAATATATGCCTTAATAAAAAATAACAAAACTATTAAAAAAAATAAAATAAAAATAAAAAACTTGTACTTTTGACCAAAAGAAGTGGTGCCCTTAACCTTAGTGCTAATACAGTATTTTCATAGTTTATTGTAAAGTATGTTGGCTATTTAACTATATAGTCGCTTAACGTTAACCAACATTAAAAATAATTCTGACCCATAATTTGACCCAGAACTATAACCCAATCTTTTAAACAGTTAAACGACTTTATTCAGCGCTAAATTATACATATATATATTTTTGTATTAAGATATTCTAATCAAACAGACTATTTGTGGTTATAATTATAATGTAAAGTATTATGTTTGATTTTTCATACTAACGCTAAGAGAAATCAGATGGTGGAGAAAATATATTTCGTCATTTCTCTTAACAATTTTATTGTATAAGATATAGAAAATATAAAAAATATATAATTAATTATTTTAGACAATATAAAAGTTTAGCCAAAGAAAAAAATGTTTTTTTTGGTAATCACTTAGAAAAAATTGATTACAAGTCTTTCTGTTAATAGTAAGGTCAAATCTCCTTTGTCAAAGATCTTTTTTCCTCCTCTCAAAAAAACAGGTAATAAATGTTACTCTTCCTTACATAACTACATAATTTCATGTGATCATAGTAAATCAATTTTTTTTTTCGTTCGCGTTAATTCTATTAAATCACAATTATTTGATATGTGCATATGATGCGTGTAACGTTGCAGAATTGATCGAAGGTATATAATATAAATTGACTGAAAGATCACGAGTACTTTTAAAGCCATTTACAATGTCTACTCGTTCACTTGAGAAGGCACTCCCTGTGGAGTGTATTCACGAAATAATTTCACACCTGACGCATGACTCTAAGGCTCTTAATAGTTGCATGCGTACAAACCGTTTATTTGCGCGACTTACTGCACCACTTCTCTACAAAAATCCTTGGAAGTATTTTGAAGTTGAAGAAGAGGAAGAAGTTTATAAGAAAGAACTAAATTCGAAAGGAGCTTTACTGCTCAGGACTTATATAAGCTGTATTAATGAACAGCCAACAGAATCTACTGAGGAAGGCTCCTCTTCCTCTAATTTTACAATCATGGATTATGTTGCACTTACACGACATATTAATATTCCTATTCTATACCGATTCCTTGAATTTAGGATATCAGCTACTGCTTCATGCGGTGATAGACCTAGGAAAACTCAAGAAACTTTTTTTGCTTTATCAAAAGCTTTTGGCAATCGTTGTCCTAATGTGGAATCACTAGTTACATGCTGGCATTCTGCCGTTGACATCTTTACATCAATGGTTCAAAAATTTCCTAACATTGCGCATCTTGATCTTTTACAATATGAAAACACGGATGAAACTTTAAAATTTATCACTAGTAATTGTAAACGGCTCCGCGTATTCAAATTTACTGTGCGTGGTTGTTCTGCTGCACTTTTAAATAGTTTCTTGGATTCGCAGGAAGATGGTTATCTTGAAGAACTTTGCATCAAAATTACCATGGCTCCTAGATCATTGTTGGCTGGCTTGAAACCGTCCGTTGTTGCCAAGATTACTGATTTACGTATAAATGGACTTCATATTGATCATGCGATGGATAATTTAAGATTTCGGAAACTTCAATCTTTGGATTTGAGTGATTGTCATAGCGTTGACGAAAAAACATTCAATGCGTTGGAATTTGGTCAGATGATAACTGAAATTAATCTTTCGGAGACAAAGGTATCAGAAGAAGCCATAGTAGCACTTGCTACTCACTGTAAACATAATCTCAGGAAATTGATTATGTTGCCATGCGGTGCAGCCGATTCTGTTGAACAGGGTATTAAGGCACTCGCGACACACTGCCCTAATCTCATAGAATTCAGGTTGGATGTAATTCGTGTTGAGATAAGAGCTATAATGGAGCTAGTTGAATCATGTAAAAAATTGCAAATTTTGGTTCTTGGTGGAGTTGATGTAAATAATGAAGATTCGTTACTCGATGAACTTATGCACACCATTCGTGTTAACATTGGAGAATCCATATGTGCTCTTGATGTGAGAGAATGGACCATAAGTGAACAAGCAGTGATTGATTTAGTTAGTGTCTGCCATAATTTAAACAAACTGGTTTTAAGATATTGTCGTAATGTTAATGATGATTGCATAACGAAAATTTGCCAAAATCTTGCTGGAACACTTAGACACCTTGATGTGGCTAATTGTCCTCTAGTAACACAAAATGGGATTATAACTGCTGAAGAAGAATTGGTGAATTGTAGAATAATTCATGCTCCTAGACTATTATTATAAAAAATTCACTGCTCTCAAAATTTAATTATTGTTGATATTTTCTCACTTTTGTATCTTTTCCTTATTCAATGCATTATTTTTATTTTTTGATTCATTAGGTAACTTATTGTACAGTCAAGTTCTTACGTGTTTTTTTATGACCCATAGAAAAGTTTTTGGGAAATAAATTAGATGTAGTGTATGCTGACTTCTGGCTTAAACACAAATAAAGGTTTTTTTTATCATTCGCTATATTAAAGGGACAACCCCTGCAAAAAACGTGGCATAAAAAAAAAAGTGGAATAAAAAAGCTTTTTTATATTCAGTCATGTTAACTTTCCACAAAAAAAAAAAAAAAAAAAAAAAAAAAAACGCACTAATTTCACCAAACCGAACCTAAAATGATGAAAATATATGTATATGTATGTATGTATGTATGGTATGGTATGGTATACAAGAGAAGAATTTGCACTACGAATATATAGTAAGACGGTTTTACAAATATTTCATTATATATTTGGTATCATTTTGATTATGGTATTCCAAAGTCTTTCGAACTGCCCATTACTCTACGATTAGCATTGTTATTACCTTCTTGATACCAGTTAACACTATTTAGACTCCAAATATCTGAATTTGATGCACCTATATTATTACTACTATTAATAGACACTGTATCACTAATATTATCTGTTCCCCCAGATCTTCTTATTGGAGGCCATTCATTATCGCCAACAGATCTATGTGTTAGACGCGACGACCCTAGTTGATGTTGCGGTTGTTGATTCTGTGAAGACTGCGACTGTTGAGATGTTTCTAAAAAAATGATCGGTTTAATATTTGTAATGATTTTATTTAATTTATATTTTTAAATAAAACTTATCTAACCTCCAGGCAAGGCTGAAAATAAAGAATTAGAGAAATATGAACTTTCAGCAGTTGCAAGGCTCTGTCGCCTATTCGTCATTGGATGTGATTGATCATCACCAATCAATGCACCAGATCCAACCATATTACCAAACCCTGGTGGTGGCGATCGCGTTCGTGTGTCTAGGGATGTATGCGTCGTAACTGATTCCCTTCGTGATGGACGTTGTATCGGTTGTGGTCGATGCACCGCTTTGATATGAGGATCATCAGGATGTTGTGACATCCTACGATGCCCGATAGGAGCCAAAGGAGCATTTTGGACGACGTTAGGGCCAATATGAGAAGAGGGTGTTGGTTGACCAACAACCTGAGTTCCCAAATTAAATGTTTGTGGACCTAATGGTCCTTGTCCTCCACCTAGGGGCAATCCACCAAATGCACCAGGTGGTGGGTTAGTATTGACTCCTGTACCAATATTTCCATTGCCACCAATTACAGGTTCATTAAGGAGAGATAAATTTGTGGATGCTACTGATGGTGGAACACCTGCAGCAGGACCAGTTAGGTGAGGTGCTGCCCCGATAGGATTGAACCCTCGAGGAGGTATCTGTTGTCGCATTGCTGGATGATGAGCGTGTATTGGCATCGGAGGTCCACCATGATGTGGATGGACACCCATCCCAATTGGGCCTAATCCCGTAGCGAACAGTGAAGATGCGGGATTCATCCCCGGTAAAGTGTTCGTTGGCTGTTGTGGCGGTTGATTAAGTATTTTTTTATTGTTCGTATATACATCATTTACGATCTCATTATTCATTCCTACTGGACCATTTATGATCCCTCCAGGTTGCCCTCCAAACTGAGGTTGTGGCCCATTTTGACTAAATATTGGATGTGGTGGATGATTTGGGGGTGGGGGCATGTGATGATTGACTGAATGAGGTTGATTTATAGCATGATGTGGAGGAATAGTTTGATGTGATTCGTGTGATGTATAATTAATCCAATTAATAGCTCCGTTAGACATCGTAGCAACATTTTTAGATTGTATAGCGGGTTGATTATTTATTGGTGGTTGTGATTGTTGTACCGAAGGTTGACCAATTGGTGGAATAGTGCGTTTTCGCTCGAGATGTTGCCGCGTGGAGGGTAAAGCAACAGCCCTCTGTTCTTTTTCTTCTTTATCTTTTCTATCTTTTTCTTCGCGTTCTCTACGCTCCTTTTCTTCTTTTTCTTTACGAACCTTTTCTTGTTCCCTTAATTCTCGCTCTTTCCGTTCATTTTCCTCATTTTCTTTTCGTTCCCTCGCCTCACGCTCTCTTCGTTCTTTAGCCTCACGTTCTTTTCTATCACGTTCGTCGCGTTGACGCCGCTCTTTTTCCTCTTTTTCCTTACGAGCTTTCTCTTCTCTATCTTTTCGTTCTCTCTCCTCTCGTTCTTTACGTTCTTTTGCCTCTTGTTCTTTTCTTCTACGTTCCTCCTTCTCCTTTTCCTCCTTTGCCCTTCTCCTTTTTTCCTCCTCTTTTTTTAAACGCTCTTCTTCCCTTGCTCTTCGTTCTGCCTCTTTTCGAAGACGCTCTTCCTCACGTTTTTTACGTTCTTCTTCGGCTTTTTTCTCACGCTCTGCACGTAATGCTTGCTCTTCAGCAAGCCTCTCAGCTTCTTTCCTTGCTCTTTCTTCCTCTTTTTGCTGTTTTATAGCCCTAAATAAGTTTTCAAATGAATATTAAACAAAATTTATAATTCATTAAAATACTTCATATCAAAAAGTCAAACCTATTTTTAGCTTTTTTTCTTTCTTTTTCTTTTAATTTTTTTAATTCACGTTCTTCTTTTAACCGATTTTCTTCTTCTAGCTCTTCTAATAATTTTTGTTGTCGTTCTTGTGCAACCTAGTTAATTTCCAAGCTGGCTTTTAGTAAATTAAAAACTTAAAATACTTATAAATCTTTCTGTTAATATACAAACTTTTTCTCGGTAAGCATTTAGTACTCTCTGTTCAAACATTCGTGCTGCAAATATTTGAAACATCCGCCGGCCTTCTTCCATACGCTGTTCCTCTGTTTGAGTATCCTACGAACAAGTTTTTATATAAGTATAATTATAATTTATAGGATTAATGCAAGTTTGACGAATTATTCACACCTCTTCTCCTTCGTCTTCATAGTCTTCTTCATATTCGTCATCATCCTCCTCATAATCACGTTGTTCCATCGCAGCTTCTTCTTCTCTTTGCATTCGACGTTCAGCAAGTCGCTCCATCATTTCAAGAAATTTTTTTCCATCATTTTTTAAAAGGTCATCAGCTACAGTCAAAATGCCTCCTGATTCAGCAAATGTGTATTAATACTTTTAATATTGATTAAATAAATCAATAAATCTATTTATAATATATATAAAGGAATAAAAAAAATCGACCATCGAGAAGATATTTCCTCAAGGACCTTTGTTTCCTTCCAGGTAGTCATCACGCACCTTTCACGGTTAAACTATTACCAAAATTAAAAAGTTCCTTCCGAGTATCGCTACCGTGCTCACTGCCTTCATAGTCTTCGTCCTCGTCGTCATCTTCGTCATCGTACTCGTCATCATCATCGTCTTCATCGTATTCTGCAACAGAGTCATTACGATATTCGACAGTTGACGAACCGAATTGTTGTTGTTGGTTAGCATATAATTCGAGTTCTTCATAATAAGCATCATAAAGGGTTTCTAGCTCTTCTTCAATAGCGGTTCTAGATTTAGTTCAAAAATACTTTTTAATATATTTATATAATAAATACTATAATATAGGAATAAATTCTCAAAAGACCAAACAGTTATATAAATATAGTGGCTTGTACACAGTATCAATTGAATAAAGTATCAACTTTGGGCATAAATAGTGGATCGTTCATAAAATTAAATATAGTCATTCTAATGAAAATTTTATATAATAAGTGGCAACATTGTTATACCACCAACCTCTTTCGACCACATACGGAACATGAGCATGAATGTTTCTGTTGTTCTTTCATTTTTTTAAGTACGGCTTCTTTTTCAACCTTTACTAAACTTCGTCGTTCCTCTTCGCCTAATTGCAACCAGAATTCTCTTATTCGTTGTCGTTCTTCGTTATTATTGGTATTCCAGATACCGTCTTTACGAGATTTATGATTATGGTTATGATGAGGATGATTGTGGATATCTGTCATCTGGCTGATTGAAAGGGCAGATTTATTCTTCTTCTTTTTCTTCTTTTTCTTCGCGGGCGTAGAAGGAACATGGTGATTATCACCATCAAGATTAGTGAGAGAATCTTTACGCGGGAAAGGTATTTCCGGAGCTTCAGGATCGTACCCTTCATCATCCGAGAAAAATTCTTCATCATCTTCTATGTCCACATCAACCACCTCTTCTCCGTCAAAATCGCTAGTGTAAATGGTATGATGAGACTTTGTATGTTGATTATGGGTTCCATTAGCAATATCGGGATCTTCAATGTGATCTGGAGGTGGCTTTCTTTTGCCTTTCTTCTTTTTTTTCTTTTTTGCAGCACCGTTACTATTTTGTGAACTATGAGAAGGAACAGGTTCGCCAGGATCTTTTGAAGGCGGTGAAGTCGGTGACAAAGGCGTCCCGGAAGGTTCCTTTACAATGTTCATGCACTTCGTGCCCGACTTGTTGTAAATTACAGCCTGTTTTGGATTTATTTGTTGCGGAAAAATAGGTGGAGGATGGGGTAAACTTTCTTCAGGTGGGAAAGCGTGTGAGGTCGCCATCATTATTGCCGTTACTTCGGTTTATGGCGTCCTTTATTTGCTTTATAAATTCTGGTATTTATTTAATAGGACTAAAAGTAAAAATAAAGTCAGCTAAGATGGTCAATACCATAAAAGTAGATTTGGTCCAACACTCAGACCTTAGTGGCAGTTTAAAGTAATAGGTAGTTCAAGATTACAGAAGTCGAGGCAGTGTTAAGTATAGAGTCTCGTATATAGTCTCAAGGCAGTGATCTCGAGTAGCTTTGCAGGTGGTTTGTAACTTTAAATATATATACTTTTTTTTTTGCACCCAAACCAGCTTACGAAAGAGGCTTGTTAAATCACAGGGACTTTATATATCTTTTTTTTTTACAATTCATCGACGTTTATCAGTTGGACTAATAATATACATAACGTCATCTAAAAATTTCGGATGAAACCTTTACTATGTGATAAATATGATATTATGGGGTGTTGGATTGCCTATCATTATAAGCAAAGATATTCATAGAAATTCTACTATATTGTAAAATTCAGGTTTTACACTCTATACATAGGTTTATGTGATAAATTGGTAATCCCCTGATTTGTAAGGTGATATTTAATTCATACATGAATAATACTGAATTTTTGATTGTTCAAAGTCCGCAACTTGGTGATTAAAAACCCTTTTTTCTTGAATAACATAGAAGTGTAATGAACGCTTTTTTTTGTCTCATTAGGATAGATATTTACTATGTTTTTGTTCAAAATTATTGAAATATTGAAAAGTGGTCTACTGAGTAACGGTGAAATGTTCAATCTTGATGTATCGGCCAACGATATAAGATGCTTAGAAAACTTGTACAAAGCCCCATTTGCATATCTGATCTATTTTTTTAACCATGAGCATTACATGTCAAACAAACAAATGTAAAAAAAATTAAAAGAATCACATTAATGTTGATTAAAATTCGCTTTCTAAACACGTGTTCTTAAAATCGGGGTTCAATCCCAGTTGGAATGATCTCTTTACCGATTTTACTTTTAATTAAAAATTTAAACCTTGCAGGTTTTTATCATTAATAAAATTTTCTTGAATAAAAAAATAATTGAAATTTTCATTTAACCTAGTTTTAAACCATTAACAGAAATATACATATGTACTAGCAATACTTTCTATAAATTGCAATTTTACTAATTTTACTTTATTTGGCAAAAAATATAGTGTATGATTATAACTCTAGATATTACCCGATATTTAAAATTTTTATTACAAGTTAATAAATTTAAGGTTGGAAGTTAGGGTTGGCTTTAGGTTAGATTAAAGAGTTTAGATACATGTAAAATTTGACGCCGAAAATTTTTACTTAAAAGACGAAGCATGGTTTTTTATAATAAAATCTTGAGTTATTTGAGTTATTTGTTTTTTTTCTTTGCTTTGTTTTGGTTACACAAGATCCAGTGATCTAATTGGTTTTTATTCATATAATAAAATAATTAATACATGAGGTTGTTAATAGAAATCAAGCAAACTTTTTATAAATAAAATTATTTTAACAATAAATTTTACAAACTGAAAGTGTTAGTGTTCAAATCTTATAAATAATGAATTTTGAAAATTATATTTGTGTTATAATAACTGTTTTGTGATTGGTTGGATTGACATATCTGTAATCTTCAGTTACATCATCTTAAATAAGAGTTTGGAACATTTATATAAAATGTAATATATATATATAGAGAAATAATAATAACTAATATTGCATAAACTTTAATACAAACTCATAATAAGATTACTAGATACAAAAAGTGAAAGAACTAAAAAGTCAGAAGTTTATTTTAAAATTTTAAATAAAGAGTAATACAAATTTTTAATAATGTTATTAGACTGATAGAAGCTTATAAAACATCTTTAAAGAAACAAATAAATAAACTAGATTACAAATATGTAAAGAAAACATATACATTAACCAGACTGTCAAAATTGCTAAAAAAAAAAGATATATATATAAATATATTATACTAAACTATCTAAATTAATAATTTAAAAAGTTTTGTTAGTTTCAAATAAAAGTTAGTAAAAGATATAGGTCATATCATCACTTCTGATACATTATATTTTTTAAAATAAATTAAAAAGCTTATTGATAATATTAAATCTAATAACTGTTATTTTAAACTATACTTTTAGGATTATATATATTATAATATTAAAATTTAAAAATAAATTTATTATATTTTAATTAAATATTTTTTCTTATCAATTTACAAATTTATAAAAAATATTTAAAT